GAGATAGGGGAAACGCAGGGTGATACTGTAACCTGTGCTATAAGAGCATGTGACACCCGACAGCCATGCCCAGCCCGGCATTATTTTTTTTTTTTCAGTGTAATTTCAATATTTCATATCATTAAACCCCTTCCATCCTTCTTACCCCTTCCCTCAGTAGAAGCTCTTTTCCTGACTCGGAAAGAATATGTTTAACAAAAAGAGAAATGAAAGCACTCCTGCCTTTCTCCAGCTCTGGCAGGCATATTACCCCCAAGCAAGCACTAAATGTTTGGAAGAGGCAGGGGGCCCTGCGCGGCGTGGGGAGGGGGCTGTGCCCTGGGACGAGAACGGCTCTTCCTTCCCACAGCCTCAGCGAGTAGCTTCGTTTTACTCCTGCCGGCCACATAGACCTTTTTTTAGCCCCGGTTTACACCGATCCCGTCCCGAGTGACTCGTTGTACCTGTCTGGGCTGTGTATGCTCCAGAGATACCGCCTGGGTCCAGCTCCCAGTGTTCTGATGTTATCATTACATCGGATTTTCCTCTGCACACCAGGCTGAGCCCACTACCTCTCTCTCTCCAACTTGTTGCTGCGGCAAGTCTCTAGAGAATAATATGTGCTGCAACAATTTCTCTATTGTTTCCTTGCCTTCAACTATTGTGCCCCTTAATTAGAGTTACTTGTGGAGTAGATCAGAGGGTTGTTCTTGCTACCAAAGAAAAAAGAAGTTGCAATCCGATATTTTGCCATTATTGATACTATTATTCCTGTTACTGTTTCCAGGTTCATGAATTGTGCGATAACTTCTGCCATCGGTACATTAGTTGTTTGAAAGGAAAAATGCCAATAGACCTCGTTATTGATGAAAGGGATGGCAGCTCCAAATCAGACCACGAAGAACTCTCAGGATCTTCCACAAATTTAGCCGATCATGTAAGTCCTTCTGATTTCTTTATGGCAGTTTTTAAGACTTTAACCTGCTTAGAGGACCTGTCCCCGATTTCATTGTTCTGCTGCTGTTGTCTATTATTATTATTATTATTATTGCTCCTACTTTAACCTCTTGCAAGCTCAAATCCCATCTTTACACTTTCTTCCTTCTCGCTTTGTAAAGTTGTAGAAATGCAAAAGGTTATTTCTGTTTCCATCTGTAAAGCAGCGAGTTTGCAATGGTTTGTAAAGTTTCCTGGTCTGGGCGGCTTGGAGAGCTAGAAAACTGTCGGTTTGATGTGGGGATCGGTGCTTTCTCTTCTTCTTTGCCAACTCTGTAATCAATGCAGCAATGTACGGAAACAGACAAGAAAGTTAGGGAGAAAGTTTGCTGATTTGCTCCCCCCTCCTCTCTCGTGGGGATGACAAGTGATGAGAATTATTGGCAATACTACATTGCATTAAAAAAAAAAGGGTTAGCACATTAGAGTTTCCAATGCTTGTGCTTTATAGCAACTTATTGTCAGAATATGGACTTATTGCCAAACGCCTGAAGCATCTTCATAATAAAAGACAGTAACCTTGATGAAGCAATTATTAACAATGTATTACAGAAAGCTGGAGAGAATGATGATTGAGTAACCGTAGGTTAGCGGTTGATTTTAACACTTTAGGAGTTGGTGAATTAGTGTTATGTGTGTAGGACTGAACGTTGGTGTGCGTGGTAAGGAGAGTGCCTTTGTTTTTCCGGGTTTTGGAGCGGCTCTTGTGATCCTTCAAAAGATGTAGGCGCGGAGAGACTTCGGGATGTGAAGGGAAAGATTGCAGCTGGTACCGCAGAAAAGGGAAGGAATAGCTCTGGTTAAAAAGAGTGGGTGTGAACTCTAGTTTATTTATAGGAACGCATCCCTGGGGGGAAAAGGGGTTTACACAGTTTTAGATTCAATTGAACTCATAATCTAAATGATACAGTCTAATATTTTAGCGGTTGAAATATTAATTTAACACCCGGTGTGAAGTTAACCATGCTTTCTGCACAGGCGCCTGCCTTTATTTCCCAGTGTGTTAAGAAGAGTAGCTGTAAGCCCAGGGAGAATGGGCTTTCTAGGAGCTTTTGTCTCCTTTGAAAACATGTTGTTTGTGTGTGTATTTGATAATTACATTAGACCTGGACTGAAGCTGAATTGGGAGATAAAATAATAATAAATTCTTCTAAATGCCCCCCTTCTGGCACGGCTGAGTTCCAGAGCCCGGGAAATATTTTTGGACCCAAGCCTTAGCTTTCATTTTCTCATTTGTATCCGGTAAACATTGCAGGACAAGGTTTTTGCGATGTTTTACATTGTAAATCTATTATTTTGAGAGAAAAAAATGTATGCAGAGGTTCCTGAAAGTTTCTCTGCTTATCAGCTGCTATCTCACACATAGATAATAAACTCTATGAGGCATGACACTATTTCAAAAATATTTGTTTTATGGCATTTTACAACCCTAAATTCGTATGCATAAGTATTCTGGGAGAGCACTAGAAAAGAAATAGAAATGAGTGGTAACCTGAAAGATATGGGGTCATTGTGTATGATTCAGAGCAACACAAAAAAAAAAAGTACGTTTCTCCAGTACGGTTTCTTTACGAGAGTGTGTTTCAAGTGGAAGTGTAGAAATGGAGCATGCTTGTGTTTATATTGAAGAGATTAGATAAACTAGCCTGTTTAGGGTTCTGGCAGATGGCGAATGCTCAAGCCAATTTGCAGTGCGCCATTATAATATTTAAATTCACACACAATGATAGGACAGAGGTGGAGGGGGTTAGCATTTTAGTAATTTGATAACTATTATCTTCCCTAAGAAGAATCTCCTCTTGCTTTTGTGGCCCAAAACCAAACTCAAATAAATATGACAACCCATTTATCTTGCACCCGTTAGGGTTTACCACTTCATTGGGTATTATAATTTAAAGCCTTTTATTTCCTGGAGATTTGAGCTATAACATTTTTACTTTAGCCCCCTGCTATTTGTTTTGAAAGGAAGCAATAATTTGTGCAACCAGAACACCAACTGGGAAATGAAGAGTTGTATCACATAGTTACATTTTATTCATGCGTTTTGGGAAATGTGTCTCCTTATTGGATTTTTTTTTTTTTTGTATATTAGCTCGTTTTCCCAACAAAACTTTAACACTCTTTTATAGCTTAGTCAAACTACTGTGTGTGTACACATTTATATTTGCACTGTACAAGGTTCCAGCAGGAAGAAACCCACTTTTATTCATAAAGAAGGAAAAGCTTTAAAAAACGGCTAATATAAACATGCAAGACTATCAAAAAATGAACTATCATTTGTGAGCATCTACCTGAAAATATAGTAGTTCAAGCATGCAAATTTGTCCAATTTGACTCTCCAGGTTTATTTTTTCATTTGCTTTGATATGCATATTTAATATATAGCCTCAGGCTAGATCTCATTTGGTGAAAGTTGGTGCAGGGGTGATGATGAGCCACTTCAGAAGGACAGAGACAGCATGTTGTTTCCTCTGTTTTATGTATTGGCCCACTATTCTGATCCATGGGTCTTCCCCTCATGGTTTTATTTGCACATGAAATACTAGGAGCATTTCAACTGATTGGCTATGAATAATGATAGCCAAAAAGAAGTGTAGTTTAATTTGTTGTGTGCCAAGGTTTCTCTTGTGGAGGTGACAGTTTGTGACAGCTGTTTGACAACCCAAAAATCCATACACCTCTATTCTTATTAAGCGGTATAAAGCTACACCGTGTGTGTTTAATGTGAATGCAAGGGGTGGTAGCGGTGACAGTGGCAGTGCTGAACTAGGAGCTAAGGCAGCTCTCAGTTTTATTCCTTTGCTAGACCTGAAAACGTAGCATAAGGGAAAGTAGCAGAAAGAACTGTAGGATTAGCCAACATTTACCATAAGACTTCAACTGGGGTACTCAAACAGCGAATGTTTCCCTTTTCAAAATCTACTGCTCTACTATTTATATAACTTAATTGGAAACCAAAAACAAAATCAACAAAGGAATGAACTCTTCAGAGATATACCTGTGCTGGAAAAAGGAGACAGCTGTAAACGGTTGTACTATACGTGTTTGGTAATAAATGTGTTTATCGAATTTTATTTTAGTGCGCTATTAACTGTTATGTAATACAGTAAGTGTAAAGGGACCAGGGACTTGGTAGATCAAATAGTGCAGCGCTGGCCACAAGAAGCTGAAACTTTTGTTATTACTCTGCTGTGTTTAGTAAATATAACAGCCCATAATTAGTGTTTGAATTTTTAACACCCTCATATTTTTTTATTGCTCTGAGGTATTAGCTGTAGATGGGAAGAAGGTAATTACAGCTATGCCCTGGCTGAACCAGATCAGTTAGGGGGGAAAAAAAAAAAGAAAAGAAAAGAGGAAAGAAACCTTTCCAGCTGCAGTTCAAGTTGCGTTTCCCAGCACAGACAATTTATTATTGTTCAATATAAACATTCTGGGCCCTATCCTGCATTCTGTGTTCAGCCTAAAATATCTGTTGAGATTGCCCATAAACCTTTTTCTTTTTTTCCTTTCGAGCTATTCAGATCTGAAAAATGTAATGCTTGTAAAATTTGGAGATTTTTAAACTTTTCCGAGCATATGATAACATTTTGTACTTTAATTACATTTCTTTTGTACCTGGCTTCACCTGGTGCCACACAATTCTTCCTTTAGCACAAACCCACTTTGAAGCCTAGTAATTCTCCCGTAGAAATTTATGGCTCTCTTTCCGCTGGCTTTCATGGGAGCAGGATCAGGGCCTCAGTCTTTCTGATATTTGTTTATATGTTCTAGTCAATTTGCAGCTGAGAGGTAATAATATACAGATCATCATTCATAAAATATAATTAAAAATGGATAGAAATATACATGCAACTCTTTTTTATAAAAGAACTGTTGACAGATTAGAAATCCGATGCCTTAGCTGTAGAAGAGAAATATTAGTCTGAATATTAAACCTTTCAGCTCTCAAATGAGGAGATACTTTTATTTTGTAATTTTGGACATCCAGACATTTTACATTTCTTTAATATTTCTTCTCAAAGAACGGTCTGTGCAAATTCCTGACATCTTGCAGATGAGAACAAATAAAAATAGGGTAATATATATCTGTTCCAGTTATATAATTAAACCTTTAGGTAAGATTTCACTGAGTAATGAGGAAGTAATTGGGGGCCTGATGCTGCAGTGTCCAGGTACGCCATACTTTGGTGAACTTCAGTGGGAGTATGCCAGAAACACAGGATCAGACCCCAAAGGTGGCCTTTCTGTTTGCAGTGTGTCAGAAGGAAGCTAAGTAGCTAACTGCAGCAATAATAAGGCAAATTTTTTTCTTTAATAACCAGATTTCTTAGCATGTGGCTTAAGACTTAGGACGTTACGGTAGGCCCTGTGCTTTCTGAAGGGACAAGGAGCATCAGGAACTTTCTGAGACTGTAAAGAATGTTGTGTATTTCCTCTTTTTGATGGGCCAAGGTACTCTGCAAGGGTACTCGACAGCTCAAATTTGACTGCTTTAATTTTAAACTGGGTTCTCTCAAACTGAACTGATAATGTATTTCACTCTGTTTGATGCCGGTGTTCCCTCTTTGGTTTGAGTTGTCTATCAGTCTAGATGAAGCGCAGCCACACAGAGTGATGTAGAAGGACAATTAGAAAAAAAACAAACCCCCGATTTTTCAAGTCTCAGTTCCTTGCTGACAGGTGGATTACATGTCTGATTTCAATCTTAATTGGAAAATACAAAGCACGCAGCTTTTCAGAACGTTGCCATGTTCTAGGAGTGTCAAAAATTCCTCCTGACACTTTCCTCAAATGCAAAATCAAGGGACAAGAATTGGAACTTGTACATATATATACATACAGACACACACAAATATCTGCTAGATCACAATGCCTTGTGTCTTGTTTAAATTGTGTAATTTTGATACAAAAAAGTTATCATATTAAATATGCATCTGT